CACCCAAATGTCTTACAGGCAGGTGCCAAGGGGATGGATCTGTTGCCTGGAAAGGCTGAGCTGGAACAGAGAATAGACAGAGCAAAAGGAATAAAATAGGAATTTATTGAAAGGATTCACTTTGGGCAGTGCAAGAGCCTGGCTGGGGCTACACCCAGACTTTTCAGTGGTACCCAGCAGCAGGACAAGGCAAAAACTGCAACACATGCAGTTCCATCTGAATATGAAGGAAAACTTTCCTGTGGTGGTGACAAAGCATGGGAAGAGGCTGCCCAGAGATGCTGAGGAGTTTCCTTTTCTGGAAATACTCAAAACCTGCCTGGACATGATTCTGTCAGCAGGAAAAGACCTTTCTGTGCTCTGAGGGATTAAAGTAGGACAGGAGGCAGCCCCAGGAGCACTGATGGGTACGGGAGGCAGCTGTGGGGATAGTACACAACGCTGGCTACCCACTTATCTTGTTAACTGCTGATGCTGAGAGGTATTTAGGCCTTGTTTGCACAAGTTGTAGAAGAATTTTACATATTTTGATCTAATTAAGTGACCACTGTTCAACCCACCCCTGTGGCAGAGGTGCTGTTATAAAATCAGTGAATTTAAATCATGCATAGTGAGGTACCTGGTGTGTCTTGGCTACCAAAGTCCCTTCACTGTCTGCCAAAGGGGTGGGTTTAGACCCACAGAATCACAGAATGGTTTGGGTTGGAGGGGACCTTAAAATTCATGTCATTCCACCCTCTGCCATGGGCAGGGACACTATTCCCAAGTTGCTCCAAACCCCAATATCCAACCTGGCCTTGGGCACTTCCAGACATTGGGCAGCCACAGCTGCTCTGGACAAAACCTATCAATTTTGCATCAGTGGAATTATAATCCTGTAAATCTGAGGGTAGAAACCATTTTGCTGCCTTACAAGTAGGGTTTCTTGGGAATAATTTTCCTCATATGAGGTTGATCTGGGCTGCTGTTGTGTCTTTGTAACATAAACTGTGCCCATTGAAAGGCTGAGGCTGTTATTTCAACAGAACTCCTCCTCCTGACTGAAATAAATCTGTAGATTTCTGTAGAAAAATCTTGAAAAATTCTACATGAAAATTAGGTTTGGTTTTGCTTTAGAGTGAATATCCTTAAAGCTTCCAGTGCAGTCAGGCAGTGAAGCCATCAAAACATCCCATTCCTACACCCAGTGGCAGAGTGGAAATCAGTGACCCCCTTCATCTACAAGAGCTCCTGAGCCTGCCCCCACAGCTGCCTTATCAGAGAAACCCAAGGACAGAGCTCCTACTCTCATTTTTCATCATGGAGAAATAAACAAAACATAGCAAACCTCAACCCCAGGCAGACAATGGCATCTTTAGGTGGGTGTTTGCAGCCTGACCTTATCCCTGCCTGCCTTATGCTCTGACAATCTCGGGTGTGGAAATATTTACTGTCACTTAGGCAGGCCATGTCCACCCAGACTTGTCAGAGGAGATGAAAACACAGAGCCACTGATGAAGCAGAGACTCCAGCTGCTGGTTTTGTGATTGAAGAATGGATGGGAGGGCTGGAGGGGGCTGAGTTTGGGGCTGAGTCTGCCTTGGAAGGCAGAAACACCCCCTGGTTCAAGCAGAATTTCAAGTCATATGAGGAGGGGCTTATGGGGTTTTTTAGCCAGGAGAAAAGGAGGCTCAGAGGGGACCTTGTCTTTCTCTGTCACTCCCTGACAGGAAGGTGCAGCCAGGTGGGCTCTGCTCCCAAGTGACAGCACAAGAGGGAATAGCCTCAGGTTTTGCCAGGGGAAACTCAGGCTGGACATCAGGCTGAGAATCAGGAAGAATTTCTCCATTAGACACTGGCAGGGGCTGCCCAGGGAGCTTTGGAGTGCCCATCCCTGGAGGTGGCACCTGGAGGTGGCACCTGGAGGTGGCACTCAGTGCTCTGGGCTGGGGACAAGGTGGCCATGGGGCACAGCTGGGACACCCTGGGCTGGGAGGGCTTTGCCACCCTCTGTGGTTCTGTGAATATCCTGAATATCCTGCTCCATGAGCCTCACCTCCTCCTCTGAACAGCATCCACGCTCTCTTCTTTTTTTTTTTTTTTTTTTTTTTAAATTTGATCTGGCCTCTTTTGATGACTAAGGGAACAGGAAGATTACAGTTTAAGTATATAATTTTCATTTGATGTGACAGGTTAAAGCTATGTGCATTTAGAGCAGGCTTAGATTATTTTAGTTCAATTGCAACACTGATTTAGGCCCTGACTCACTCTTTGGGGCCTGACTCCATGTAGATATATGTTGGCTTGAATTTACTGCTGGTGAAATGCAGGCACATGTGTGCATTACTCTGCTGAAATGCTGGGGTAGGGGGGGACTCACAGCAAACACAGTCCTGGATCAGAGGCAGAGAGAAGCAGATTGTGCTTGTAGGGTGATTTTTTTCCCCCAGCACAAAGGCTTGATATTCCACAGCTTATTTTCCATCCCCTCATGCTCCTCCCAGACCTTGGGCTGTGTAATCTGCCCATGCAGTGAGTGCTTTGAGGCTGAGTGCCCTGGAGCCTCCCTGGCTCTGCTGACAGGGAAAAAAAAAACAGCTAAAAAACTAAAAACTGTGGAGAAACAAATTGCTAAAACTCACAGAGCAGGCTGGGAGCACTGACCTGGAGGTGACTGGCATGGCTGGAGGGAGTGGAAACTGCTTTTTATGGATTGGCAATGCATTCCTCCCCCTCTCCACTGCCCCTGTGAGCCCCCACCTGCAGTGCTGCACCCAGCTCTGGGTGCCCAGCACGAGAAGGACGTGGAGCTATGGAATGAGCAGGAACAGGAGGATGAGGGGCTGGAGCACCTCTGAGAGCCTGTAGAGACAGGCTGAGAGAGCTGGGATTGCTCTCCTAGACAAGAGAAGGCTCCAGGGAGACCTTTGAGCCCCTCACAGTTAATGTGTTACAAGAGAGTTGGAGAGGGACTTTTCACAAGGGCATGGAGTGACAGGATAAGGGGGAATGACCCTGAGCTGAAGGAGGGCAGGGTTAGGATGGATAGGAGAAGGAATTGTTCCCTGGAAGGGTGGGCAGGGCTGGCACAGGGTGCCCAGAGCAGCTGTGGCTGCCCCTGGATCCCTGGCAGTGCCCAAGGCCAGGCTGGACACTGGGGTTGGAGCAGCCTGGGACAGTGGAAGGTGTCCCTGCCATGGCAGGGGTGGCACTGGATGAGCTTTAAGGTCCCTTCCAACCCAAACCATCCTGGGATTCCATGATTCTCATTTTAGGGCTGCCCTGAGCAGTGTGATGTTCATCAGTGATGTGGGCAGAGGTTGGGGCCCCAGCCCCAACACTGAATTCCTGATTTCCATGGGAAAATGCCCCATTTCCAGGTGGAGGGCAGATAATTTCCGTGCAGAAGCTTCTGTGTGTTCAGTAGCTGTCGGACTTTGTAGGTCAGACTGTGACAAAGGAAGTGTTACCACTTTCCCAAAACTAAAAGGAAGATTTTTATAGGAACTTGGAGTACAAAGGAGAGTCGTGCATGCAGAGGGAGGCACAGGCATTCTTTGGTGCCTTAGTCCTCATTACAGGAAACTAAAGCTACCTGGGAGTGGTGTTTTCTGAATAATTTAAAAAAAGAAAAAGCATTTAGGGCAGTCCTTTCTGCAGCAAACCTGGAAGTGGATCTGGACGTCCCTTCTCACTTGTATTTGTCTGCAAAGTACCAGAAGCAAACAGCATTTTGTGTGTCTCCTTAACTACATCTCTCCATCTCCAGCCTTGGAGTGGAGGGGGAGGAGAAAGGGAGAAAGGGAGCTGCCAGCAGCTCGCTGTGATTGATTTGTCTCGTGTTTTCTTACGCTGCGCTCTAACAACCTGTTTCAAAAAAAAAAAAAAAAAAAAAAAAAAAAAAAAAAAAAAAAAAAAAAAAAAAAAAAAAAAAGACAATGACAAATCAAAGCGAATATTTTCTCGCTAGAAATTCAAAGTGCCCTGGATCATCTCTGGGTATTTTGCTATTAAATGTGCGGCTTTATCCATAACGTTTGTCTGAGAGAGGGTTTTTGTTGTTGTTGTTGTTGTTTTTCCTGCTGGAGCTTGCAGCGTTTAGAGGAGAAATGTCTTTCCCCCGGAGCCATTTGCCTCAATAATTGCGGTGTGAAGCTGTCGCTGGTTGCCGTCACCCGGGGACAGTTTATGAAGGTAAACGCGCTGCAGTTCTCCACGTGCTCCAAGTACTGGAAGTGGCCCTGGGAAGGGATCGGGCGTCCTGGCTGGACTCGTAATTTGCCCTGAAGCAAAGGTTGGGCTGAGAGTTGCTATCCTGAGCCCGGACAGCTCCGGGGTGAAGCAGATACGGAGGTCCAGGGAAAGAGGAGATGAGGGATGCTGCCACCCCTGAATTCCGGGAGGTGAGGGATGCTGTCACCCCGACATCCCGGGAGGTGAGGGATGCTGTCACCCCTGCATCCCGGGAGGTGAGAGATGCTGTCACCCCGGCGACGCGGCTCCCTGAGAGGTTTGCTCCCCTTTCTTCCCCCTTTTCCCCGGATTGTTATTCCCCATCAGGAAGAAAACCCCTCCGAGGGTGCCTGAGCGCAGGATTTTGAGCAGAGGGGGATTTCTGTCCCACGGAGCAAATCAAGGCTGTGCTGTTGGTAATTGGGAGCGCCCAGCCGAACTTTCCCAGCGCCGGCAAGGGCTGACACCAATTCCAGCTCCCGCTCCTGGCAGGGCGCTGCCTCCTCCCTACCCATCCAAAATACCCCAAATAAAAGAATTTACACCCATCTCCTAACCTGCCCTTCCCTGCCGATGGAGCCGCAGGGTTCAGTGGGTCTGAGAGGGAGGGAGAGGGAGGGAGAGAGGGAGGGAGAGAGGGAAGGAGGAGGGAGAGAGGGAAGAGGCAGGCAGGGAGTTCAGGTTACCGCTGCCGCATCGCCGCCTTCCTCCGCTTCTGGCTCCGGAGCCTGAGCCCCTGGATGGGGACAGGGCTGCGGGGGGACACGGGGACAGCCGGGCAGAGGTGGCGGCGATCCCGCCGGGAAGATGCGCTGCGGGAGCATCCCGGGCTGAGCAGGTGCCTCTTCCTTCGCCTAGCTCCAGGTAGGACCGTGAGCAGGGACCGGCTCCCTCCCCCCCTGGATCCTCGGGGCCGCCTCTCCGACTTTCCCAAACTCTGCCGTGGGGACAGGCAGAGCAGAGGGAGCTGCTCTGGGAAGCGGGGTCAGCATCCAGACCTCCCGAGGCAGGGATGTCCGGCTCTGCACTGCCGTGTCCATCCCCCGGGGATCGTGGTCATTGGCACCAGGGCACACTGATTTTGGGTTGGGAAACGTGCTAATGAGTAATTCGCTTGCCAGATTTAATGGGTGTTTCACACGGGGGAACATTTTGGCAGCCCCACATAAAGACCAGGATCAATTAGGACAAAGCCAGGGCAGCGTTCTCCTCGCTGTCCTGCTGGGAGCTTGGATGGAATGCTGGAAAAAAAAAAAAAAAAAAAGATCCACGAGGCACAGGTAAGTAATTAAAAAAGCAGCCACTGGACCTGATCCCACAAATATTTCTGTGTATAATCAGCACTTTTAAAGCCAAGTAGTTATTGACAAAGGATGTGCCAGCATGAGGGCCCCACAGTCGGATTTGTGCTCCTTTGCCCAGGAAGATTTTCCCTCCCAAAGTACCAGACTTGATGCTTTAAGAGACACATGAATGCAAAGACTTAGTTCAACTGTTAGAGGAGTATAAAGTTCCAAACACCAAAAAATAACTGTGCCAAGAGGCACAGAAAAAAAAAGGGTAAAGCATGAGCACCAGGCTCACCTGCTCCAAGTGCTCCCCAGCTTAAAATAGGGGGGAAAAAACACCTGCAAGGCAGAATCCTGGCAGGTCCTCATCCTACAGCGATTTCATCAGGATTGAGCAGCAGTCAAAGACTTAGGAGTAATATTGGAATGTCTTTATTGGCAATTTTTCCCATTTTGAATGTTTTTTGGGTTTTTTTTTACAACCTGCATAATTATCACTTCTCTTCAGTGCTATTTTACTTCTTCCTTCATGTATCTTGAGACGGTTTCCAAGGGAGAAGAGCAAGATCCTCATTTAGATTTCTATCTGAAATACCTTTTTCAGTTTTATTTCTCTTTTGCATTAAGATGTAGAAATCCAACAAACAGCACTACTTATGAATGTGCAATAAATAATTTGGTTTGGGGGCACAGAATTTTCGAAGAATGGTGCTTCTATAACTCAGAGAACTGTACTTTTGGAGTCCTGGCAATGGCAACAAGAGCCTAAGGAAGAAATTTCCTTATTGCTTTGTTTATGAAGATAGGAGGAATTGGATTGGATTTTATTCCTGTTCAGCACAATGAAGCACATGAGTTTACACAGGGTCAGGTGCTCTGATTCATCCCATTGTGGACAGCTGCTTATCTGTGCTGAGATCTGAGGTTTGGAATTGAGCAAGTAAGGTAAAATTACTGATTCATGAGGCCATTCTGAAATAAGTTAAATATGCCCATTAGAATCAGTGATAAAAGGAACATAGGGGTATTGTACGAATAGAAGGAGCATTAAAAGAAAAGAATATTAGCATTGGAGAGAAATGCAGAGAGGGATGGTTGATGCTCAGCAGGTGAAGGGAGGACAGAGACAGGAGGAGAAGGCTTTTAGGCTGAATGTTTGGGGAAAAAACACGACCAAGATGAGAGAGAAAGAGGGAGAGCCCCAGGGCATTGCTGTTTTCCCTGCCTGTGAGAGAGGATGCCCTTGGCTGGCTGCCTGCCAGCTGTGTTTGCATCACTGGTGCAAGTGGATTGAGTCAAAAAAGTCCAAATATGCTCCTAAAAAGGACACAGAGCACCTGCACTGGGGGTTGGACTGCCCTGGGTGTCCTGGACAGTGTCCCTGCACTGATGGTCTGAGCTCTGCAACAGGACTCCTCCAGCCCCCACTGCAGCATCTTCATCCTGGGAAAAGGATCTGGCCTTACTCAATACCCAAACTGAACATTTCTGTGGGTGTTTAAGGGCCAGGATTCATCCAGAGAATTTTGCAGGTGGCTTGGAAAAGCAAGCTGATATTTTAAAATAGAAGCAAGCTTCCCTAGCTTGGCTAAAGTTTCTGGGAATATATTTCTTTTTGACTCCTCAGTTGCAGCACTTATTTCCTGTGACATTACCAGAGCCAAACTGTCTCAGTTTGAGTCACTCCAAGACACAAACTTTTTGCTGGTTTTGAGAGCAAAATTGCATTTTGGTCAGAGGATGCTTTTTTGGCTTTTCAAAACAGATGTTGTGAGCAAGAGCTCATGGCTGGGTGGATGAGATCAAGGTACATTATGAGCTAATGGCTCTTGATTTTTATTTTTTTTTTTATAAGGAGGAAGATGAATCCTTTGGTTCAAAAGATTTCTGTGCCACAAAGGCCTTCCCTCTTGCCATGATCTTGATTCTCCTTTATGCATCTGGGTAGGGACAGAGGCAGAACCCAAGGACACCTGGTCTGGGCCATTTTAATAATGGAAATTTCCTCACCCAAGGTGACACTTCTGTATCTGAGCTGGGAACACTTTTCTGAGTGGATGAGGCCCATGAATTTTTGTTCTTTCCCTGTAAAAAGAAAGATGCAGCTATTAAATGGATGAGTGCTGCCTGCAGAAGTCCCCCTGTGCCTGTGCTCTGCCCCTGGGACAGTGGCTGTGTTAAAGTTGTGTTTAATCAATTTGCTGGGGCTGTGGTTAACCACCAGTAAATCACCCCCTGTGGTACAGAAAATGTGATTCAGAGGAGGAAATGGGGCAAATTTGCCTCTGAAGGGGTGAGGTTAAGGAGTTATTGTGGGTCAGGTGGCTCTTCTGAAATTGCCTCATAGCACAATGGGGCAAGGATGTGAAACTTGAAGGGACTCTTGCTCAGATACTGAATTTTAACCAGTTTATATTTTAAAGTTTCTCCTTTTTTTTCACTATGATTTTTCTTTGATTGCTGTGAAAAATGTTTCTTTGCTTATTATGGCTGTGCCAGTGTTTAGGCCATGTTGGCCATGCCCTTGAGAATAGAGTTACATTCATATAAATGTATATATGGTAAATGGTATTTCATTTGGCTTACATTAATCTAGAATGTGACATCTCCCTCTAGTTTTTCTTCCTCTAGAAAATTCATAGCTTCACTTGTTTTTACTGCACATCTTTTTCCTTTTAATTATTCCGAATTCTCTCCTTATTAAAACCCAAAGTAGTAAATAAAAACCAGCCCAAGCTTTTGCAAAGAAAATTCAGTCTGCTGTTGGAGTCACAGGGTCAATCAGCTAAATGGGAATTAGTACCATAATGACAGAGCATAAGCCAGGACACGTAGCAGGATTTACAAACCCATGACAGTAATGCTGGTTTTCTATCTGTTGTCTAATTGATGGCTTAGGGGCTCCTGGGCTGGGTCTGTGACAGAGTCACTCCCTGGATATAAAATATTGTGGAGAAGCAGAGGCTCGTTTTGGAAAGTTTAAAACAAAACCCAGCCCTCAGAACCCTTTTTTTTTTTTTTCTATTCAGATCCCATCACAACAGGTGTGGGAGGAGATGGGAAAGCAAAACCCCCTCCCATCACAGAAAAAAAAAAATGAGAGAAAAACCAAAGAGACAAAAGGAATCGAAATTAAAATAAAAAGACAACAAAGCAAACAAACAAGAGCCAAATCAAACAAAACAAAAACAAAAACAAAAACAAAAACAAAAACAAAAACAAAAACAAAAACAAAAACAAAAACAAAACAAAAACAAAAACAAAAACAAAAACAAAAACAAAAACAAAAACAAAAACAAAAACAAAAACAAAAACAAAAACAAAAACAAAACAAAAACAAAAACAAAAACAAAAAAAAGGGAAAAAAGTAAAAGGAAAAAAGGGGGGAAAAAAGAGGAAAAAAGGAAAGAAAAAAGAAAAAAGTAAAGGGGAAAAAAGAGGAAAAAAAAGAAAGGGGGAAAAAATAAAGAAAAAAGAAAGGGGAAAAAAAGAATAAAAATAAAGGGAAAAAATAAAGAAAAAAGGGGAAAAATAAAGGGGAAAAGGGAAAAAAACAAATTAAAAAAGGAAAAAAAAGAAAGGGAAAAAAGAATAAAAATAAAGGGAAAAATAAAGGGAAAAAAATAAAGAACAAAAATTAAGGGGAAAAAGAAAGGGAAAAAAAGAAAGAGAAAAAATAAAGGGAAAAAAATAAAGAAAAAAAGAAAGGGAAAAAAGAATAAAAATAAAAGGAAAGTATAAAGAAAAAAAAGAAAAAGAAAAAATAAAGGGAAAAAATAAGAAAAAAAGAAAGGGAAAAAAGAGTAAAAATAAAGGGAAAAAGAAAAGGAAAATATAAAGAAAAAAAAGAAAGGGAAAAAAAAAAAAAAAAAAAGAAAAAAAAAAGAAAAAAAAAAAAGGAAAAAAATACAATCTGCCCATAAATAATGATCCCAGCAACTCAGTGCTGAAGTGACAGAATCTGGTGTGTGTGGAGGAGCAGTGCCTTGCTCTGCCTGCTGATGGACTGACAAGGAGACACCACCTGAGAGGTGAGAGGGACATCAGAGGGACAAAGGTTCAGAAAGGGCAGCACAAAAACTTCTTCCCTTGTCCTGCACTTTGTGTTTCCTCCCTTTTTGCCTGCCAGTGTGGGTGAGCACACTGTTCATACAGAAATCTGGTGACACCCGTGGCTTCACCAGAGATGTCATTTTGGAGAGCTCCAGACTGGCCCCTGCTCCTCTGAAACTCTTGCATTTAGGAAAAAAAATAAATGTTTCCCGCTGTTCTTGACATTTTCTTATTATCTGTGTGTGCTGACTCCTTCTCTGTGTCATGCTGAGCTTATGAAAAAGCAATTTAGGGGCGTAATTCCAAGGAAAATCGGGAGTTAGCAGCTTTTGCTAGTCCTTTTACCAGGGCATATATTGCATTCAGTGATTAGGAAAAGCAAATGGGAATAACGCTGCTGACTTTAACTGTGCAGGATTTGAGGATTTGAGGCTGGAGCCACTGGCCACTGTCTTTAAGTCGTGCCTCTGCTTTTGGGGCTGCAGCTGTTGGAGTCTTTTTCCAAAGCAGGGACTTTGGCAG